AGACAGACAGACAGACAGACAGACAGACAGACAGACAGAGACAGACACAGAGACAGACAGACAGACAGACAGACAGAGACAGAGACAGAGACAGACAAACAAACAAAACACACAAGCAAAAGTAGGACGTGCTTTGCCAAGTCTCCCGATCATTAGCAATGCTTTCCACTGCGTTTCTGCGTCCTTCGCTCATGATGTGGTTCTTTCAAAAAAATGGAAGAGCGTATCTGCAAGGTCTCAGCCCTAACAAAGCCTGTGCACACCGTATGCATGCAATTCCTGAAGTTGTAAATGACCTTCATACAAGGAACAAAACATCAAGGGAAGGATAACTAATTAGGTATAACTCCCGTTATTGGATCTCCATTTTAAACACTCCTAATGTCATTCTATTTTCCCATGAAACTAACAGCTCGGCTCCTCTGGCTCCTCCGGCTCCTCTGGCTCCAGTGGAGAAACCTCTTCCAACTCCAACGGCTCCGCCTCCACTGGCTTGTACTTCTTCTTTCGAAGGCTTGGCCACTTCCTGCGTCGATTTACAGAATTCTCCCCAAGCTCTTGAATTGCAAGATTGAATGGGTAGCCACTGGCTTTGCAACTCCCGAACTCAATAGGAAACATCCAACTTGGCAAGTGTTGTGACTTTCACTTGGGTGAGCCAGCTACTAGCTCTAGGAATGATGATTCTTTGACAGGATGTGTTTAATGTTCTTTCGGTTTGGGAATGTTGATTGTGTGCCTTGGGATGCTGATTTACAGTACAGTACAGTAAGTGCATTTAAAGGTCTGAATGGTGTTGTCTTTAAAAACTTGCCTCGAGTGCTGTATCATTTTGCACTACATCTTGGACACGGCGTGAAGTATCACTGAGAAAGTGACAAATGGTTTTACCAACTTTGGCAGTCAGTAGTTACATACTGGATATTCCTGTGCTGCGTAGGATCGTCTACATGCATCTCTTGTCTCACGGTGGTGCCACGACAAGGTCGTCGACAAATATCAGCAGGGATTCCAGACTGGAGCCACAATGGACGCGAGTCTGGAATTACAAACTGCATGGTACCGACCCACAATATACAGGGTCCCCTTTCAGCTTGGTCAAGAGCGAAAGCGGCCGGCGTCTGACGTGGAGGTACAGTATGGATGTTTAGTGACCCGTATGTTTCAAGCGAACGTGGGGGCACGAAGCAAGGGCCAAACCAAAGGGGATACGTCAATCGTTTTAAATGCTTTGGGAAGCATGGGAACCCCTCGAGTTTTCTGGGAAGACCGCGAACTCTAAGGCTCTGGAATGGAAGTAGGTCCGCTGCAGAACCTAACAGATGCAACTCATTCATCTAGCGAGAATTTGGTTTACTGGTATACTCCCCGCTGTCAAGACACCGTTCAGTCTGGAGTTCTCGTGCTTCCAAGGCTTCCAACATATGCAATGTGTCTGTGCAATACTTTTTCTGAGTGTCCGATAGCTGACTTTTGACTCCAGCTTTCGCAGGTTGCTTTGCTTGAGAAGCTTGGCCATGTAGTGGCCCCAGCGGACATTGCCTTGGGCTACTTGTATGGCCCACAGGTCAACAGTTGAACAGCTCTTCTCGGAGCAAGTACGAAAATAACTCGAAGCAACTCCAGAAATCCTTGCTGGGTCATTTGGGGGAAGCCATCTGCAGGCTCACCCAATCGCGTGGTCGTGAGGACATGCCGCCATCTGGGACGTTTTATCTTGCTGGCACTCATCTATACACGCGTTCAACAAAACAATAACTATTTTTAGGCAGGTCTGAGGACAAAGGCAGCAAGGGACCTCAAAAAAGAACCTTGTGTAGTAAGAAAAGGAATGGTCTGGGGCCCAGGCCTTTTCGATCGTAATCAAAGTTTCGATCTCGAAGACTTTGAACTGCCACCTGGGGCTGGGGCCCAGTTTCCGCTGCGCAAGTTCTGCAGCGTCTGCAAAGGGTGATGTATACAACTTTGGTCAAATGATGTCAAATGTTTCGTGCCAGAGATTCATGTCATGAAGAAGCTA